TTTTGACATAAAGGAGATAGTTGAAAACCATGTAACATCAACTAATTTTTCAATGGACTGCCTTTGTTTAAAAATTGATCATACTCAGAACATGCTCTTGAGTATCGAATCAGTTGGGGAATATAAACATCTTGCATGTATGCAGGTGATTTAAGAATATTACTACAGAAATATGGAAATTTGGCGATGGAAAAGCTGAAGTCATTTAGTTTGTCATACAGGTTAGTTGTTAGTTAGGCATAAATTTCTATAGTTATGAAATATCCTGGTATCATTTATTTTGAGTTCACTGGGATATATATCGAGTTGACATATAAATGAAAATAACTATTGTTAATTGATAAAACGTCGTCGATATATCAAATGTTGCATTGAAAGCCAGAACGAGTTTTCTTCTTCTTAAACGGAAGTTTTTGAATAAAACCTACTTCATAGGAATATCAAAACAGGGTCGGCTAATATAGGAGCACAATTAGAGCCCATCAGAATTCCAACAGATTGTTGGAAGACCTGGTCTCCAAAGACTACAGAGATTATGCCCATGAAGAACTCCAGCATCTTTTTTTTATTATTAACTTCAGGGTACTTGTGTGTAGAATCAGAATTGTTTTTAACAATTTTGTAGATGACCAATCACAAGATATGAAAATTTACAAGTTTCAATATTTATTGTAGAAGCAGTTATAAGAAACTAAAAAATATCCTTTACCCCAGAGCGCACCTGTTTTGTTGTATGAATAGCTAAGCAGGTTTTTTTATTTTGTATTTTTTGTCAATTAATATTGGTAAACAAGTTGATGATAATGCTTCGATAATTTTAGTAGTGCAAAAGGGGAGATTACATTGTCATGTACAGAGATTCACATATAATAAATTTGTGGTGTCATTATTGTCTGGATCACCCCTTGGCTTGGCTTATTCGTCTTTTTATAAAAAAAAAAAAAAAAAAAAAAATATTCACACAATTTGCAATTTCATGATCTTAGTCAGGTCGCCACTTTCAATTTAATAATATAATGTAATTGTAAATAATTGCATTTATGTTATTTGTGATATGTTTTAGTAAAATTACACACTGTCTATTCAGATTCGTAAGGAAACATTGGTATGTTTAATTTCTTTTTTGTTCTAAGCAGATTTTTAAGTTTAAGTAATAGTAAAATATCATATTGCAAGTCTATCTCATTGATGTTTAGATAGTAGTGCCTATTCATTAATTTTCGAATATTTACTGTAAATAGGGAACAGATTTTTTCAAGTTTCACCTACCCTCCATTCCTTATTTTCACCCACATGTATAAGATTGAAAGGGAAAGCTGTTTTATATAGACATTTTTGAGATTAACAATTGCCCGACAAGATAGATGACTTTTATGTTTCTTGACATTTGAGAAGTGTAACAGGGGAGCAATCACATGGTCACAGAGTTTTTGTTTGTTTATTTGTGTGTTGGTAGATCATCAATATTACACAATACTTATTGCACTTATAAATATCATATTTTAAATGCGCTTCAAACATCACATATACGTAATGATATGCATTAAAAGCTTGAAGTTTTTATCACGTTTTTGGCAATCCTTTCTCCTCTGTCTTAAACAGGAATACAACTCATGTCTGCATCAAAGTCCTCCTTCATGTCAGGATAAAACTTCACCACGAGAAACTAAGAATTACACTTGAACAATCTGGCCATTTATTTTACTGAGCAATATTTAACATTTTATTAGTTACATTACATCTTCACCAAAAACACACATTACTGAATATTGCACTCAAAATTTAGCACAGTCGTCCTCTTAATATATTGATTAGCGTAATCGTAACGCACTAGAGTTTTGAAAGGACTTATATAAGCTTTAATCATATATTAGCGTGTACATAAATTAGCTGACAACAAGGAGCTTGAAAGGTGCTAAAATATGATTGCCTCTAAAATAAGTATGTTTACAATTCCTTGTTTAAAAGAGCTTTTCAAAAACAAATCATACTGTTTCAATGGAATAAGGAAAACATTTCATTGCCAAAGCCTGAATTTCCCACATGACTCATTTCTATTATACATTCGAGTGTTGTATGTTTACGTGCAGCATGTGAAACATTATTATAAAATCAGTGACAATTTTTATTAAAAATTTTAAAACCGTGCATTATTATAACAGGATTTCCTTAAAAATACTCCAGTAATATACTTGGGAGGTGGCACCCAGTCCAACTGGACGTGAATGTTAAATGTTGTAGTAAACAAAAGTGTCCATTAATTATGTGTTCACTTGCAGCGCTGTACATAGTGTTTTAAAACGTCGAATTTGGGATATCCACAGTCTCTAGATCTAAGAAAAAAAAAAAAAAAAAAAAAAAAAAAAAAAAAAAAAACTATCAAAATCAAAATTATTTCAAAATGTTAATAAACACTTCAGGGTCTATGTTAAGAAATAAATACCTTGCCCAACATCAATACCACTGTCTGTCTTTGATGGGGTGTGTGGACTACCTGAAAGGAAATTTTATGTTAAGCATGAAAGAACTCAAGAAAAAAGTATTTCAAAATTTCAGAGATTGCAGCAAAATGTTAGGAGTATCAATGCTAGCAACGTAATATAAAGACGTTTACACATTATATTCAAGGGAAATTAAAGGTGATTAACTTTCTTTTTATTTTACCTTTGGGGAATCTTTTGGGTACTCGAATACTAGATATCTGTAAAAAAAAAAGTTCAAAATGTTTCAACACTAATATCTAGATAGTATGCATTTTTAATTAGTACAATACATGTAAATGAGAAACACAAAATACTTACATAATTCTTTAAAGTTAGCTCATAGGCACTCAGTTCATTTTCAAGTCCTGAAATTCTGACTATCACCCCTTGCACACATTTTGATTTCAAGTCATTTGCTTGTATTTCAAACCCGGCACTTAAAAAGTCGATTGTCCCAACCAGAGCTGCGTTTTTTAACCTTGTCTTACTTTTCGTGTCCTGAAGTAGCGCATTAATTTCCTTAATTGTCGGTATTCTATCCATGTTTATCCACACACTTTCTTAAAATATTATGCTGATGTATTTGTTGAATCCATTTTGTTGTAAACACGACAAATTATCAGTAGAATGGATACTTAAGAGAATGTAGGTCGTCATAACTACTTCGATATACCTTTTTATGAAAGGCGGAAGAAATTACGACATTTTCTAAATATTTCCTAGGTTCAGTCGTAGTTTTCAGTTATGCCATCTACCAATGACAATGACAGTGACAAAAATTCTTTTATATTTTGATTGGTTGAATGTTCTGTGACGTCTTTTTATTTATGCGTCACACTTGTTGTGACGGAAAAGCCCCTAATAATTTCGATTTACTGATCACCTTTCCAATGTCGATAATGCATAAATATTTTAATTTCAATAGTATGATCTTTTACTCCTCTCCTCTACAACATAAATCAGCAGCAAAAAAATATTTTGTATATTTTTTTTATGTTTCAATATTCCGATAACAAAGCATTGACTTGATTCGCAGAGATTCAAGATAATACGTATGCGTAGGTTTGTGGAGGTGGGGTTTGGTGGTTTAGAATATATAGATAACAGTATGAGAAGAAGTTCATTTTTTTTTACAACTAAACAGGGAAAATAAATTTTAATGTTAATTTTTTAAGAAAAAAAACCCAATGCGGATCATGTTACTAAGAACCATAATAGATTGCGGTATTTTGCAATTACATTCATGTAATTTCTGAACCCTGAAAATGGTGAAAGGCTTAAAATGGTTATTGTTTTTGTAATATATTTTGGACAAACTGAAAAATAAATTGTTGTTTAATATAGAACCTTATAAAAAACGTCCTGCTTCGTCTACAATTATGGTCCAATGTTTTCGCCATTTTGCTGATACATCGTGATTGCTAATAATGTGTCATTTGATCGGTTGATCAACTTCAAATGAATATACATGTAATCTAAATTGATTCTGCAATTTCACACTGTAATTTTTATAGGCAATGAATTGAGCACGTCTCCTCATGATTTACAGAAATTTCTTCGTAATGAAAACCACTGTTACTCACCCGTTAATGGATTTCGTAGGCGAATAGTAAGAAAACATATCAATGTGTATTCACAAATGAAATTTCACATATTAAGAGTTTTACAAAATTACAAAAAATAGTCAATCAATCAACCAATAAGGTATTCAATCAATGAGATTGAAATGGTTTTTTGCATGATCGGAACAAATTTCAAATCTACACAACACTTTAAGGATGCAGTCTTCGTTGCATTTCAACAAAATTTGGAGACCCAGTTACATTTAGTTACCACAGATAAGAATTTGCTTCTCTCTCTGACATGATCATATCTATTGACTTAAAAGATGACGACGTGGATCTTATAAAAATTGGAACTATATTTTTTTCAATTGAATGTGTAATGAAATTTCACTACATTCTTCTTTGTTAAAAAATAAAACATTAACAAATATTTTTTTCATGTTGTGTAATTTCTTTAATCATCGGTAAATTAATTTCAAATCTTCCTTCGATGACCGAACATAGACCATTATACATTTATTTACTGGGTTCGAGAGCAATATGCGTTTTGTCGGACCCAGGAACCAAATTGTTTGCCTGAAGCCTTATGCAAACAGTTTGGTTCTTGGGTGCTACAAAACGCATGTTGTCCTCGAATCCAGTCAATAAATGTTTGTTATACCTTTTTACTTTTTATTTTGACATATCTTGCTTTGGCTTCCATGTTTGCGATAATTGATAACATTTGGCTGATCCCGCCTACAATGTGAGGTAAAAACCTCACAGCAGTCCAACATCTCATCGATAGGTCCAATATCTCGCTTAACGGTCCAACATCGATTTTTTGGATCTCTCCGGAAAAAACATTTGAAATGTTAGACTTTTTAAAGTATAGATTTATATATTTAACAATCTTTAAAAGGTATAGCAAAATTGAAACTCAGCGTAAAACAACAATCAATGAATCAAGCATATGCAATCAATCTTCTTTAGATGATCAATTACCCATACTTTATTTATGGAAGACTCCCTCAACAAGGATAAAACAAGAAAAAGAATAGTTTTTTTTGTGACAGCTCTTTTAACAGAATGTTAAAATCTCAATATCTATATACATTGTAGAAAACATAGAAGATAGGTAGAGAAACGCTCGCGAACATGTGCACTTCGACAAAAGGTATGTACTTAAATAATCAGGATAATGCAGTGTGCAAACAAAGAATCCCTGTGCACGCGTTAATTCCATTACAGCATTCTTCCTAGTAACATTGTACTAGTGTGCATTTAATACAGTCATAAATGGCTTATTTGCCTGTGAATCGCAGAATAAGTAATATTTGAGACTGAACATGGGTCTTGCTTTGACAGAATTACCTTTAAAAGTGTGATTACGAATATGAAAAAGTTTCATCTAAAATTTTATTTATAGAATCAAATTTAACAAGGATTTCCCATTAAGGCTTACTCGACGTATTGTAGATATATTTAGACACCTACTCATTGAAAGTTTCCAAAATGAAAGGAGCAAGAGACATTGTATAAAATTGAAATCCACATATGTCATTTATATTTCATATGCATGTAGAATTGAAAATAATTCGAATTTAAGCGCACATAGAACATGATAAAAATGATACTTGAATCACCTTAATTGTAAGAGGCTTATGTTGCACATTTTTTTTTTATTTTCAAGCATTTTATTTGCTGCTTACTATTGATTACTGTAAAGATTTATGTAAAAGAAAGATTTTTCCTCACCCAGAGACTTTTGCCGCATAACAAACCTCTAAAAATATTGTGAATTAGGTTTGTATTATGCTGAAGGATCGTAGACCATAAGTGATTTACAAAATTTTTTTTCCTCATATAATAAACCAATTTTATTTTGTTTCATATTTTTCCTTGGGATCTACCATTTTCAATCTAGACCCTTTTTTGTAGAGGGAGACTAAAGACACACAGCTGTTTATATTACTTTTATATTACTGAATTATTTCATTTGTAAATATTCAGCAAGGTTTGGTGCCTTATTACATGTTATGAATATTGCCTCCAGTAGAGCGGGAAGTTGTTCGACTACCGGCTTGATTAAAGCCGAAACTGTAAAAGAAATAGAAACTGCTCTGTTTTCAAACTCTATACCTGTACAATCATTCTTCATCATGATATATTATAAACAACTGCTTCTTAATTCATTAAAAATGGAACTCGGAAATTTTCATATATTGTGATTGGTCATCAACAAATTTCTTTGTTAAAATTCACTCCGATTCTACACACAAGTACCCTGAAGTTAATATTAAAAGGATGCTGGAGTTCCTCATTGACAACATCTGTGAAGTCTTTGGAGACCAGATCTTCCAACAAACAGTTGGAATTTTGTTGAGCACCATTTGCTCCTTTATTAGCCCCCTGTTTTTTATATTCCTATGAAGCAGAGTTTGTTTAAAGCTTCTACAGGAGAAGAAAACACTTGTTGTTGCCTCCAACGCGACATTCAGATATATCGACGACGTTTTTTCAATTAACAATAGTTACTTCCATTCAAATATCGACTCGATATATCCCAATAAACCCGAAATTAAAGACTCTTCAGAGTCTGCCATCTGTTTCATATTTAGATATTTTACTGACTATGTACGATTAGGGCCAATTATCAACTAAACGAGATGACAGCTTTTCCACTGTCAACTTTTCTTATTTGACTATCATCTGCATCATCCTCACAACGCCAGGGATCCTGTGTCAACTCGTTTCCGTTGGACCCCTGACAACTTTCATTCGCTATCTTTGGGCTTGCTTCTCTCATTTAGAAGCAACAATCAAATTGAAGTAGACAGATAATATAAACAGAAAGGAAACAGTTGACACCTTAAATGCACGTGTTATGCATTGTTTATTACCGAAAAGCTTAATCTGTTTGGTTTAGAGATAAGAAAAACAATCAAGATTTGTAATTTTCGCTGCAGTCAGCCCGCAAGATATTGAATGAAATTTGTCAGGGGTTCAACGGTAATATGTGAATATTTCGTTTACGTTATCAATACATATGGCTCACGGCGGGTTTACCGGTCGACAGGCGATGCTTACTCCTCCTAGGCACCTTATCCCACTTCTGGAATTTCTGGAGGTCCGTATTTTATGCTCTGTTTACAGATTTGTACTGTTTGTATGTTTTTTTAGAGATCGATGGTTATCTTCATATTTTTCATTCTTTTAAGCCATGAAGCCTGTATCCCTGTCCTCAATTCTTGATAAAGGCCTGCAAATGACTGATGTGATAAATTGCCGTTTTTCCTGGGTGACGCCTCGGTTCGACAGCAAAAAATTAAATAAATCCTTAAAATATCAATGCTTTGTCTTTTTATTCTGTATAGCATCAAATAACAAGTTCGTGTAATTCAAGTTGTCATCCCTTGTAAAATGCTTTGTTTTTTTTTTTTTAGACCGCTTGTGATACCATATACATGTAGAAATACATGAAAGATTGAAGATTATCGGAAATATGATATCGGTGTAATCTATTGAAATGTTCTATATTTTTACTTCATCATCTTTGTGTTGTGTATGAAAACAGTAAGATAACACTGATTATGTCCTTGTAATGTTGAAGATCCTTAGAAACATGATATGGGCGGAACTATTGATATTTGTTTCTGGTGTTCTTTATAATTTAGTTCATTTAGATGTTGTGTTTGTAAATAATGCTCTGACATATTTTCATTAAAATTGAGGTATCTCCAAACTTTGAAATAAGATATTTTTTCAAGTGTCTGTCATTGATATTTATTGCTTTTCAGTCATGGGAGTACATTTAAACCTTGAGTTTTCGCCAGTCTTATATCAGTCTTATTTAAGTTATAATATGTCATTTCTTCTTAAACTGCCTTAAATGGAGCGGTTAAGCTTCTCAGCCTTGAAAGTTATCTTTTAATATCAATATACGTAACGTCAAATATTTCTATTGTTGTGTTGGTGATTTTGTTTGATCATGTAACACCTATCATTAGTGAATGTTTAGCATTTCAGCATATTGAAATATATGCCAAATGTATCCATGGTTACCGCTTACTTTTAGATATATTCTAAAAAAAAAATCTTTATGAGGTAAGTTTATAGGATAATTGGCATCAAAGTGTATTTTTGGTGAGAGTAGTTAATTTGGTTTTATTTAGTCTTCATTAAAGCTCAATAGATATTCAAAGTAGCTCTTATTGAAAATTATTTTGTATTTGCTATCAAAACTGAAAGATTCAAAATAAATTTATGAATTCCATTTCTTCAATAGCTTTGTGACAGCAGAGTTGCATTTAAGAAATTCAGACTTCAATCTTGAACCTATGCTAACCGGGCCTCTAGGAAGGAGAGTTATCATATATATACATGTGCATGTAATACTTTGATGCTAGGTAGGCCTATATAAAAAATTAAGAACATGGTCACCGAATTTCATAACTTGACATACTTACAGACTTTTAAAACTGGTGTTGATTTCTAAATGAAATTAAATAATTTTACATACAGTCATGTATTTTGTTTGTCTAACTTTGTTCTGAAAAAATTTAGATATATCATCACTGATATATCTAAGATAGCTCAGCAGTCCAAGACAGCTATACAAATAGCCCCCAGAGGCTAGGATGGCCCCATGATCTTGAACGCACCATAGCAACCTATACAAAATTTTGTTGTAAAATTCTAGGGAAACCACAGACACTATCCAGTGTTCGAATATATGTATTTGGAACAGGAAGTGACATTTTTCATACTAAATGATTACATAATGCATAATTTTATAACAGAAAAACAATATTGCTTTGATATACAATATATGATTAAAAGAAACAGAAGATGAATTTATTATTGATTTTATTTAAGGAATAACTGTCTAATTTTTTGAATTCATGATGTGATCAATCGAGTGGCTTGCGTGATAATTTGCATACTAGTAAACGCCGAAGGCGAAGCCAATCGATTGATCATCGTCATGAATCCAAAAAATCTGACAGTTATTCCTTATATTTACATGCTCCTGATTCTGCAAATTCCCGTGCTAATAGCCCCGCTTCTGTCACTGTTTGTCCCGCCCCGCACGTGATTTTTTTTTAACCGCGCCTATCGATGAACCAGTAGATTTATGTAGAAATAAAGTATTTTTACAATTTGTAATTTTATCTCGGACAAAGACATTGGAAATGTAAATATTTTGTCGTTAACAAATGCAATATTCTTGATTTAGACTAGGAAAAAAAGAATAATTAATTTAAACGGTTGATTTATTTTACTCCTGAAATCATCAAGAATATGTATTCTGATATTCTTTTACTTATATACTAATATTTTGAATTAACGATGGAAAACCCTCAAAGTTCTACATGGTATTATTTACTAAGTTCATTTTATCGTATAAAAAGGATAGCTTTATAAAGCCAAGTTTCTCCGAGTATAGGAAATATAACTCTCCGTGTTTCTGAAATATAACTCCATGTGACTGCATGTACAAAAACATTCATATATAAAGCACATGGTTCAAAGGGGTTTTAAAAATTCTCAGCAAAAGAGGAAGGGATGTGTTTATAAAAGCGAATCTTAAGTCCATTATTGTCCATTGCCGTGTGATACAGGATAAAGATAAACATTAATAAAGATCCTTTTTCTCGTGAGTAGAAATGCTAAAATATTTGTGTTTTTTTTTTTTGTCAAGTCAGAAATGATGTTTAAATTTTATCGTGTCTTTCTATGATTATGTAGCGTTTAATATTTGAATACATGTATTTACATTCAGAGTTTTTTTCTTCGTTGAAATCCATTGTAATTCTTGAACATTCACTCGCCTATTAACACACTCTAAATCTTTTAACTGCGCAGCAATATACAATAAGAACTAAATGCGTGTTCAATAATGTGTATTATTTAGTTCAATTAAATTGATAATAGTTAAACTTTTAAATTCTTGTAAAATTATGACAATTTTACGTTTAAAATTTATTTGTCATTTTTCTACCTCGCAATATTTATTTGCGTTATTTAACTTTCCCTGTCAAAATGGCTCTTCCGTTTATTATCCAAACAAGTTCTAAAGGCGATAAATTTAAAATGAAGACGAATAAAAAGAAAAATAATAAATAAAGAGAGAAATATAGATAATGGAAGTATAATTTTAATTATATCATCCTCTTCTAATATAATAGAAGTACCTTTTTAGTCATGAGTCTACTATGCTCTGTTTTTTTGCCAAACACTTAACATATCACAGAGTTTGTCGAAAAAAAGCATTAAAATTTTATTATTGAAAATGATATACATGTAAATTAATTATTATTGAAAATGCCAAAAATGTTTCCAATCTTAAAAGTACATACGATACTCGTAAAAAATCTATGGCACAAAATAGGACAGTAAATCTCATGAAAAAAATCTCATTACGTGTACACAAAGATATACATGCCTTAGATATACACAGTACAAATGCTGACACAGAAATAGTAAATGTACAATATGTATTGCCCATTGGGTTAGTTATGACAAAAAAGATGGGACTAATCCTTATTCTTATTACGTGTACACAAAGATATATGTGCCTAAGATATTCACACTTACAAATACTGACACAGAAATAACAAATGTACAATATGTTTTTAATTATTATTTTTTGATGTCGTCGGTCGTATATAACAGCACCTGGCCGTGCCGCGAAATTATCATACAGCGCTAAACGCACGGTATTCAACTTGTTGGCATGGCCAAGTTATGTTGAACAATCAACGACATCAACAAATAATAACTTAATGCTTTGTATAATATTTTGTTATAATTTAACTAATAAGGATTTTTTTGCTTATAGAACCAAAGATGGAACACTCTGATTATTCGGACATGAAGTCAATACCTACACATCAAGATGAGGACCCTCCTTATATCCCATTTGATCCAAAACTGGAAGAAAATGATTCTATGCTTATTATACACACACATGAAGGTGTACCAATTGCTGAATTCATTAAGAAAAATCTTGGAAGATTCAATGCTCAAATAAGAGTCAATATCTGCGATATTGACGAAGTAGAAAGCAGAACTTTGAATTATAAAGTAACAATTCTTCTGATTACGCCGGAGGTGATATCCCACTTGGAGACGATCACAGACACGCCATTTTACTCTTTCCAATTTCCACAGAAAACATCTTGTGCGTTTTTGATCCATGATTCTGTGAACTTTTATGAGGAACACATTGAGTCAGTACTCAGGAGCAAAATTCCAGATTTCAATGATTGGACAATGCTAAAAATTGGCTTTATGAGATCAACAATATTTAATATTCTGAGTTTATTTGATATAATGACACCGGTACCATTTCCACCCATCCTGCAATACCGATTGGAGCCAAACTACGTCATAACAGTATGTCAGAATTATTTGCAAATTGTCTCATCATATCAAAATAGCTTTGTTAGATATATTTTCAAAGTAAATTTAAAGCATTTGCATCTAAATGAAGTCAAAGGAGGGTTAAAAAGATATACACATACATGTATCTATTTGTGGACGGCTCTTGTTAACGAATTTGTGAGAGCCAATGATTTTTCCTTAACATTTTACAACAATGAATTCTTTTTGTGTGAGCATTATTAAAAACCTTGATCATCTTTATGTTTTTTTTTAAAAGATGCATAAATTTATTTTGAAAAGGACAAGAATCTGGTATATATCATGTTCAAATATAAAAAGGAAAAGGGAACTTCCGTTGTTGTACACGTCGATAGAAGAAACATTGAAGCCAGATTCCTCAATCCTTATACATACTCTTTTTCTCCAAAAAGTGAGTAAATAAGAAAATGATCTTTCATTTAAAATCGTTTAATTTCATTTAAATGATCTGTTAGAGTGATTTAAGACTGCTGGAAATTCTATTTAATATATAGATTATATGCAAATAACATTGACAGATATGGGATAGGGAAACGTTTGCTAAGATAAAATTTTTTATTGTTTTTCTCTATCGTTCCCGGGTATCTCTTTGGCTCAAAGTAGATCACATGATCAAGTATAAAAATCTTATAAACTGGGTAGTTCTATTTTAAGCTTCTAAAAAGGCTTTTAAACCTGCGATGATTAAATTTCTTTCATTTATAAACTTTTTATTTAAGTTCTCATTTAAAAAAAGAGATATCACACGGGCTAAATTGGTATCTCATGTGGAATTTCTGTGTCAGATGCAAAGTTAAGCACCAAAATGATAAGAACCCATTTTTCTGCATAGAACGTTTGAGAAAAGCTTCACAAATCTTTTATATGTGTTTTAAAAAATATATACTAATGATTTGCAATCTGATGCACTTTTTAAAGATTTGAGACTATCTAAAGCTATCTAGATATAAAATTTATGATATTTTCTTCAAAGGTTTGCCTTACGGGGAGAATTCTGTAAACGTATTCGTTGAGGGGAAATCTGAGGGAACAACAAGTTTGACAGTGGGAAACAAAATGGATTTCTTGTATGAAGAAATCGAAGACATGGTATCTCCAGTGGAATTTCTTTGTCAAGTGCTGAAGTTTTCTGCAGAGGACAGGGAAAGTTTGGACAGAGATCTTAGAGACAGAATCAATGACAATGTCATTTCTAATTTCTCAAGCTTCGATGATCTCGATGAACGATTTTCTTGGCGTGGTGTGTTTTTTTCAATGTTCCCTTATTTGAAACAGTATGATGAAAATTGCACCATTTTGCGATAAGAATCACAAACAATCCTTTAAATAAGGAGCTAGAATTTTGGATTTGATTAAAAAAAAATGAAATCCAAATGACTATTAAAACGTTGAATATATTTGATTTTTCCAGACCATCAGATAAATAAGGAGCTTCCAACAATGCTTCACTTTGGCGCTAGATTTGGGTTGACCTGTTTTTGTCAAGGTTTGATGAAGGTTCCTGGTTTTGGCATAGCTAAGACAATCAGAAATAAGGATGGCCAAACTCCAAGCGAATTAGCACAAAAAATGGGGTTCCATAAACTCTCTTCTGAACTGGATCCCTCGGACAACAGATCATCTAATTGTAAGTTTTATTTCTAGAGAATCTCTGATTTCTTAAACTTTTCAGAATAAGGAACATATAGTTACTTTGTATGTCAATTTTAATTCACATAATTTACTAAAAGAATTTTGGTGCAGGAAGCAATCTTTAAATATAACATAATTTTTATAAGAGAATTAAATTGATAACTGCTTTCAATATGTAAAATATATAATAAAGAGATGTCATGGATAATTTCATCTTGAATATATTTTAAAAACAAGTAGGATGAGGTTCTCAATATAAGAATATATGTATATATGGTTGTAAAAAGCAAGGGAAACTTCATCATTTGTTAATTTTACAAAGCACTGATATTGAAAACTTAGTAATTGATTTTAACTTATTAATTATAAGATATACATGTATTACCATCAGTTTTTTCTTTTGTATATAAAATCGCAAAGATGGTAAAATGAAATATAGAGAATGCTTCAGTGATTTATCAAATATGAGTGCTTCACCTATCAGCATAGATTTTAATATGAGTAATAAATAAAAAAAACCCTTTAATTTCGATGTAGGCTCACAACTCCCTCCGAGATGTAAACAAAGAAACTCAAGTGAACAGACATCCAGCGAGGATTGGGTATATGCTCTCTCTCTCTCTCTCTCTCTATATATATATATATATATATAAAGCGCATTTTACAACAACTCTTAAACTAGCATGTTAGTTTAAGAGTTGTTGTAAAATGTGCTTTATAAATAAAAATTAATTTCATTACAACGTGTATTGGTAACGATCCTCTAATAAAACTAATGTCCAAATAACTGTATCTCACTTCCATTCTCAATGACCGTGTAGTGTAGGGCAGCGCCGCGAGAATTCCATCGGCATCGAAAGCAAGTTTTTTGACTTGCCTAGATAGCCGAGCGGTCTAGCGCGCTGTTCCTGTACTGCTAGGAGACAGATTCCGTAGGTCGAGAGTTCAACCCCGGGCTGCGGCGGAAGTGGGTATCCTTCTAAAAGTGAATTTCTTTGTGTTTTCGATATATAATTTCTTTGTACTATATATATATATATATATATATATATATATATATATCTATGTGAGGGTGTGTGTGTGTGGAAAATGGAAAACATTTTTATCTAGAAGTTTGAAAATATGCTTTTTATTTCAAAGTCGTAGATCATAAGAAATGTTTCAGTAAACGGATCCAATGATATTTTTAAACACACACACACACACACACACACACACACACACACACACACACACACAAGATAACATTGAAACCCTTCTTACTTTGTTCAGAATCTGCTTAAAAAATATCCAAATTGTCGAGATTTGATAACAAAAGAATAAGAGTCTAACCAGGATTTTAGTAGTTTAATATGTTAATAAAGTTTCGTTGTTGTTTATAAATGCATACCTAAGAACTAAGGAAAAGCTTTGTTCATTATAGGAAGTAATAATGCGAACAGAAAGAGACAGAACACGGATACATGAAAACAGAGTGAATTCAGGTATCAGTAAAAAATACCTACCCATATATTTTCCAGGAATCTTTAAGAATTCAGAATCTTCTTTTACAAAATTATCAATTCATTTTTTAAGGTTTGGTTTTATTGGTAGAAGTGTAAGTTAAATGATGATTGTTTCCTCTTATACAAGTTATCTGATATTCTAACATATTACCACTTCTCATCATTTAAAATGAAGAAATTCTCATAAAATTTTTGCTGTAGGTTTAGAAAGAGACAAGATGTCAGTACAATCTACAGATAGTGGGATATCAGCAGGAATGGATTGAGAAGTTGTAGGAAAAGAATTCAGAAGAGGAGGAAATGGCCTTTGAAAGAGAAAGAAGTTCTTGCAGCCAATTTTTGCAGAGAAATTGATAAACAAAATTAATATTGATGTTTTATTTAATGTCAGGCGGATGGATACGCCTTTGATGCAAGCCATTGTGACGTAGGCAACACAGTTTACTGTGAAATCACTAATTTTCATGGGGGGTTGATTTTCGTTGTTTTTAAGGTAGGGAGAGACCCTCCACGAAATGTAAAATTTCATATGCATACATGTGTAACAACTCAACACTTCTCCAACCACAAATTCAAATCCCCACAAACCAATATTTTTTTCTCAAACCTTGAAAATTTGACCCCACGAAAATATGTGATGTAAAGTAATTTTTTAATCCAATTAAACGGCGCTTTACAACAAAGATTAAATTATAAAGGAATTGCATATATTCATGTTTATTTTTGCTTAAATATTCATGATAATGTAAAGATTAATTGTGTACGGTGCTTGATTTGCCAATAATCTATTAATTAACTAATTATAACAACTCCAATGCTTGTACGCAGTCAACATTTCAGATTCTTTTCAATATGTCTTTATGATGAAATAAACTTTGACAAGAAACAGTGTTGTATTTTAATTGTGATAACCACAAATGATTTAAGAAATATACAATAATCCACCATTTACGCGGGTTAATATTCTGATAATCTGCTGATTCTTGGAAATAAAAAAATGTTCATTTTTTGACGGAATTATTTTTTTCTCTCAGCATACCGAATAGTCTTGAAGAAGGATAAGTGAAGAGAAATTCTGAACGAATTACATTCCCTCTCTGCAGACATCTGTTTTACACCTACAGTCAGATTAAGACTGATTAACTGTTATATGCAATGTTTTATAACACCGAAAAATCTTTAAGTGTAAAGATTTTCCGTAGAAGAGATACTCTAATGTAATGATGTGGCTTTATGTTCAGTATTTCGACAACAGAGAATGCACTTTAATTTTCAGAGAATCGAGATAATGTGTGTGTGTGTGTGGGGGGGTGGGGGGGGGGGTGGGGGGGTGGAGTAGATGGTGGGGGATGGGTTTGAAATTTGTAATTTGAAGGCAGATTGACTTTTCTATATATATGCATATGCATAGGTATTTATCTTCTCTCTTCGTGTCTAAATGTTCTTAAATTTTGAAGGTACCTTTATGTTATTAATGATAAACAATAGAAGGATTAAAAATGTTAAATGTATATCCTTGTAATATTCCAATCTTAAATATGTAATATCCTTATCAAAATCTACTTTGTTGGAATGTAGAATGGATTTTACTTTCGAAAAGTTCAATATGTTGCCTAAAGCAGGTTACGTCTCAATATAATTGAAAAATTCTCAAATGGATGGGACATTTAGCAACAATCGAATCTAAGGGAACAAATTAAGAAGATTTTTATATTATTTAAGAAAATAAAGTGTGATAAAGGAATTGAGGGAAAAAACACTTATCTTATAAGTAGGAATGGCAACGGTTAGCTGATTGATCGGTAGGAAAAATCGTAACTGTTACGATTTTCTTAACTGGTTAGTCGTTATCTTCTGCCATATATGTACTTATTATTTTGAAAAAAAAATCAGTCTTAGATAGCATGTTTAAACTGAAATGCTGTAATTGACCAATGAAAAAAACCTGTTAAAACAAGTCCCCTTGATTTATTCATTATAACTCTAAATACTAATAAAAGTTTGCATACACCCTTCACAAACTAATTTGTTTCAATTGATGCGTTAAAAACAACTATTTTTCTACTTAGCAATGTTTAACATGGTAATTGATCTTCATTGCTACACTGTGTAGCAAAATGCCACCACCACCATGGGTAGCTTGAAGATAGTTTTAGAGAGACTGGAACGGCCAGATAGTACTAAAACCTAAGACCAAAAAATCCTCACTTTTTCAAACATGAAAAATGGAGATAACGAACAATAATCAAGCTCAAAAGTCCATTGAAACAATAAAAATTGTGAGCAGAGCAAACACAGACCTCTTAAAATCATTAGAGGTGGGATCAAGTGCCATGGATGAGTTAGCATCCCCTGTTGACCGGTCACACCCGCCGTGTGCTCATTGTCATGATCGGGTAAACGGAAAAATCCACAGACAATTCAGTGTTTAAATAACGCCCTAACAATTAGTATGAAAAACAACAGTCATCATTCACTTAATGATAGATTGTATTTGCTGACAAGGTCATTGTATCGACCATAGAATTTGCGAAACGATGACTTTAAACAAGACTGTTGATATCCTTGTTTCATCATTTTGTTTGTCAATAGCTTGTCTCGTCTTAGAAATTGTTCGTACATAGAGCATGCACTTTTTTTCTAAACGCCCGCAGATATTGAGCTGAATTTTGGTATGTAAGTGTATCTGGATGAGTTACAGATCAAATTTTCATTTCGTTCCGCTTCATTGATATTTGACGGAATTACGACCTTTTCAATTTTTAAGGATTTTAGATATTGAGCTGATTTTTGGTATGTGACTTTACTTTGATTAGTTATAGATCAAGTTTGCATGATCAACGACAAGGTAAGTAATTTTATGAGTTCCATTTTTATTGAAAAAGCAGCTGTCTATGATGTCAAAAAGCCTGGACTTTAATTTATCGTGGGGAATGTTTGTATTATGTGTTGAAAAGTCGTACGTTTTAATTTTATGGATTTTGGAAAAATTTTGTGATTTCAAATTTTCTAAAAGTTCCTTGGAGTTTTTAAGTATCCACATCTGATTTACAACACTACTCAAATATGTTGCTGTACAGTACTTCTGAATTTTTCATCCAGCCAATCAACCAAATAAAAAAAAAGTATGTAGCATACTCGTTCTTCTTCAGTGTTGATGTGACATTACATTAATTCTATAACTTTCAAATTATTAGAAAGTAAAAAATTCTGATTATCATTGTTAAGCCTTCTTTATTTTAATTTTTTTTTTTTACAAATTGTTTTATAAGAATTTAATTGAAAAAAAATTATAATAGGATTCTAAACAAGTCTTTTCTGTTCGATAATCGGTTACTCGGTCGGAAAAAATAACGACTTACCACCGGTTACAAAAAATTATCCTATTGTCATCCCTACTTATAACCATTATGAAATCCTTTGAGATGACAAGGGTATGTCGTAATTTAGCAAGGTTGGAGAATATTTAGGTATGGATTAAAATGACAAGATGCTATACGTAGTTTCTTACCCAACAGAAAAAAATCAAGTGTCAGAATTTTCAGACAAAATCCGATGCTGCGTATGTTATTTAACTTATTTGCTTCTTGAGTTGAACTGTGTCAGTGTATTGTGCAGATATATTTATACGGCTTGTATGGTGGAATCTTCCAAAATCATGATCAAGCATACCCAAGGTTACTATTCCTTTGCTGTTGATTTACTAACAGACTTTTCATTTAAAAGCCATCCCTCTTATTTTGATGACTCTAGAAAAGAGAGAGGACCCCCCCCCCCTGCTTTTTTCCTTGTCAAAACTTAAAACCTTTTTTTACTTGTCAGTTATATTCTGGCTTCTCCTTTGCAAAAAACAATGCTACCTCTCTGTATGTACCTTCTCACTTTTATGTTCAGACTGAAAATAAGTAAATGATATATGTCACGGCGAAAGATTTAATTATCAATAAATAAAAAAAATCAATTTCAGGAAACCAGATGAATTAGAAGTGATATTTGAATAAATGACACTTCAGAAGAATCATAGAAAGACTCAAAAATATTTTTCATTTCAAAAATTTTAAGAAATAGCTCGAAAAGAAATAATTTTTTTCACTGAATTTTCCATACAAGTTTCAAATAATTGCTCACTTAGATTTTTAACAACATTTAAACTCAATGAATATAATTATTGAAAAAAGTAAGTTTTCTTAGTGGCCCATGTCGATTACTAATTTACACTCTAAATTAAATTTTTTTTAGACACATCAAATACTGAACAATTATGATTTTTCGGTGGTTTTTTTTGTACCAATTAATTTTAAAACAATTATAAAGATATTGCCTTCCTAACGTCATAAAAAGTCTTTGTCCAGTAGGTAAAGTTTGTTCAATGGTTATCTCTGATGTAAAATCGTTTGCCATTTGTACCGATACCATCCCTTGGATAAATTTTGCCTAACCCCAAAACTTAATCATTTCATCAAATAATCAAGCAATAAGTTTCAAAAGTTCACAATTTTGATCCTTTATTTTAATATCTTTTGTTAGAGATAAAGAAGATAGGTAGGGAAATACCCGGTAACATTTCAAATGCTAATTTTGGCACGTTGCCAGTGAAAAATAAACAATTAGGATGAAGCAAAAGTGCAAACGCAGAATCCACGTACACATATTAATTTCAATACAGCATTCTTCCTAGTAACAAGTGTGTATTTGATACATTCATAAATGTTTTTTGCCTTTATAATGTTTATGCATACCTATACAGTTATCCACCTATATATTGTTTCTTTAACAGGAAGCAAACTTATGCTTAATATAACGTAATTTTGTGTGTCATGTTATGTGTATTATGAAGTGAGCCTGAGACAAAGCACACTAGTAATCGAATAATGAAATATTTCATCTTAAAGTTAACAAAATACTTCTGTACAATTATTCGGTAATTCAATGAAAAAAATCTTATATGTATCATCTAGCATGACTTTAAAAAAAATAATTTGTCCTTGATGCCTTGAATTTTCATTGGTTGTCCCATCATACAACCAAAATCCTTGGTCGTGTTTTAGGTATGTTGGCACTAAGATATAAGCATTAAAGCACGTCTTTTTTGGCAAATCCCAGGCATACAATGTACCTTTATCTCAAATATGACTGTGATTAAATTACACATGAAGCAATTTCATAGCATTTGATTTGAAATATGAGAAAAGTAACCTGGACACCCAAACTCAGTGTAATATTAATTGGAACAAGAGTTCAGGAACATAGTGAATACCGCTTTTTATAAAGACTGTACAAAATTTAGATTCTAGATTCATTTACGTATTTGTCTGAAATGGGAAAAAACCCCACCCATATTTATAACGGGTTTTCTTAACTTTGCATTGATAATGACAGTTGAAAACACATACACAAAAATGTGACCCTATAATTTTATACGATCAAGCTATAACTGTTTTAAACAATCATGAAAGGAATTTATATCTCAAATTTGAGAAACCTGAAGGCTCCTTCCATTTGCTAGATCTTAACCTTAAAACGTGAATATGAATATTTAAAAGACTTATTTGAACTTTTATTCGTATACTCACATTCAGCACCGAATTCCCCTATTCAGCGTAATGCGGATAAACTAGGACACTTACGTGTACTCATATAAATGATCTTCTCTTAGATTTTTATTAAGATTTGAAACAAATTTTACTTACTCTTTTTAACTCTAAATAAAGAATGATAAAGGATTTTTTCCTCTTCTAGAATTTTTTCCCCTAAAAAATCTTAATAATTAGTGTAATTTTTACGTTAATTATAAAAGATTTCAGAGATAAAGGATCGTAGATTATAAGTAATCTGTATGGAGTTTTTTTTATACATACGATACCAAATATTTGCTTGTTTAACTTTTTAGGTATCAAATTAAATCTAGATACTTTTACTGTAAGTGAAGTAAACAGAACAGGATTATGTATATACTTAATTTGCATCATTTGCAAGTATTTTACTGGATTTTATGACTAACTGCATTTCATTCCATATGCATTTTAAACGTCATCATCTGTATGTTGTATAACAATGTAGAATAATATTTAAGCATACCAATTTAAAGCAAAGCTCCTTCTTGGGCAGTATAAAGTGTACCATTGCTTTCAAATTTTGAACAGATGTCTTGTTACGCGTTTTGTTCATAAACCTTTAAAAAGTTTTACTTAAATGTCATTAAAGTCCCATTTGAAATCACGTCATAGCATTCATTCAGCCATATGCCGGTCAGTTTACAGGTTTCAAGAGTTAAGTGCCTTTCTTTTGACCAATCTTCAAGCTGTCTTATGTTCTAATGTTTGAATTTACCCCGATGGGTTAAGATACAAAAAAATTAAACTTAAAATTTATATGTGCCCACGTAAATTAAATAAACAGAACTTCAATTTTAACATCTCGACTTTTTCTTAGGTACATTGTTACAATGTAACCATGTGTTTACAAGTCATGCATCAGTGTGTTTTGTCTTGACGACTAAAATAAAGTCTGTAACTTTTAAGTAATATTTCATCTGTGATTTTTGGGCGATTTTTTAACTACTTTTTTTTCCTCTCACAACCGACCAGCAAATGAAAACAAACTTTAATATGAATAATTAGATTGAAATGTCAATTAGAGAATGAACGGGGACATATGCGATGCCTTTAGATAAATTTAATAATCCGATTCTATGTTTTATATGAACCCCTGGATTTGACGGATTTAACAAACAAAGGCGAATCTCATCGTACCTTTGATCTTGACAAATTTATTATTCATTAAGCCTTCATTCGTCGTAGGAAATATTGCTGAAGTATGTTATACCCCCTTAATAGAACAGAATAACAGAAAGAACGTTTTTACCCCTGGCTAGCAGAATTGAATTTATGTGCTTTCAGACTAATATGTTGTATTTAACGGTGAATAAGCAAATATATCACTTTTGTATCAAACCTGATCTATATGATAAAATAATGATGAAATAATTAATAATAATAATAATAATAATAATAATAATAATAATAATAAACTTGAAAAACCAAACTGAATGGTACCTTTTTAAACGAACAAGGAGCCATTGCTGATTGATGTTATATATTAACACCTTGTACTTAGCTGAGCTGTTACGATCCTTTACTCACAGCAAAAACAATGTTATACATGTATCTAATTGTGTTGTAAAATGTGAGGGAAACCTCAGACAATTTTTAATGTTCGAATTTTTATCATTGGAATAGGTAGTGATATTCTTTATGCAAAATTATAAAATCATGTATGAATTTAGATATTATTAAAGCAATTTTATTTTAATATACAATTTTACTACAAAATATTTACGAAAATTTGTATATTATTGAACTTTTTTGTTATGATCAAATGAGATTTTCTTAATAAAGACAGTTTAAGAAATACTATGCATTCACTTTTTCTCATATAAACTTCAGGAAGAGGTATTTTGATATTCTTTTTCTTATATTACAGAATTCCTGATGGAAAACCCCTCAGGATTCATGACATTGACTTTTTTAGTTGGTAAGTAAACCATAAAAGTAAAGTTTATCAGTGTATATGAAATATAACTCCATGGGACTGCATATATAAAAATATGTCATTTATCTTGGACAATTTCACAGGTGAGAGACCACGCATGACTGTCGGGGTTTTAAAATGTTGGATTTGCACTAAAAGAGGAAGGGGTGTGCCTATAAAAGCGAACCTATACACAATTTTTGTCCATTGTTGTATTGCTTAGGATAAACAATACTAGAAATCCTTCTTCTCGTGAGTAGAAATACTATAAATTTTGTATTCTTGTTATCGAGACAATACTTTTTTCCTACTAGATGATGCATTATTGTTGCCTTCTTTATTTGTTATATTAGAACTCATATTAGAATTTTGGTATTATTTAACCTAGTGGGGAAATTTGTTTACTTAAAAGTTGCAACAATGGATGATACTTATATGTCCATGGAAGAAGAACCTCTTTATATACACCATGATCCAAAGCTGGAAAGAGATTCTATACTTATCATACATGCGCATGAAGGTGCACCAATTGCTGAATTCATTAAGAAAAATGTGGAAATATTCAATGACCGATTCAAAATTGAAGTCAGTATTTGCGATATTGACGAAGTAGAAAGCAGAACTTTGAACTATCAAGTAACAATTCTTCTGATTACTCCGGAAGTGATATCCCACCTGAAAGAGATCACAGACACGCCATGTCCCTCTTTGCGATTTTCAAAGAACACAACTTGCGCATTTCTGGTCCACGATTCTGTGAACTTTTATGATGAAAACATTGAGACGGTACTCAAAAGCAAAATTCCAGGTTTTCATGATTGGACTGTGCTGAAAATCGGCTCCTTGAGATCCACAGTACTTGACATCGTTAGTTTACTTGATCAAACGTCGACAGATTTATTTCCAGCCACTCTGCAATACCGATTGGAGCCAAACTTCATCATGACGGTAAGAACTAATAGAAGTGTCGAATCATTTCACGATCTCATATGCTAGACATATTTTGATAAAGCTTAAAACTTTAAAAAGTAAAATCATACTTATGAAGTTAAGGAAGGTTGATAATCATATACACACTGCTGATTCGTCGACAGCAGAAAATAAAGTCCACTGAATAGATTCTACCAAAGTCTGCGTGTTAGGCAACTTGTTGGGTCTACTGAAATTCCTCTTTCAGAACACAACTAACATATCTTTTGATATGAATTCTGAAGCTATCAGTGTCACTCTTTAAAATCAAATTAAACAATACATATTGTAAGCAGGTCCAACACAAACCTCTGAATCCAGACGTGGGATCAGGTGCCATGGAAGAGTATGCATCCCCTGTCGACCTGTCACAACCGCTGTGTGCCCCGTCAAACGAACAAAACAAATCTGTAAACAATTCAGTGTGAAAATAATGGTCTAACATTTTGTATGAAAGACCGAATGACAGATTGTATTTGCAATGTCATTTTTGCGAAAGGGTGACTTTAAACGAGTAATCATAACTACTCTCAGTATTTCATTTTGAAGGGGAAAAACTTGATTACATTGCTTTAATAAAAGTATTTTAATTGAATAGGACAAGACTCTGGTATACATCATGTTCAAAAATAAAAAGGAAAAGGGATCTTCCGTTGTTGTACACGTCAACAGAAGAAACATTGAAGCCAAATACCTCAATCCTTATACATACTCTTTTTCTCCAAACGGTCAGTAAATAAAACAAGCATTATTATTATTTTCATTAGAATCAATTAAAATTCATTTATACTTCTGTTAAGAGATATTAAGAATGGAAAAGTTTTTTTTTATGATTCATATGCATATTACAAAAAAAGAGGAAAGAGAAGGACTTTTTTAAAAAAAGGAAACAATTTCTTTTCTTTTTTTAAATTAAAACTTCATGAAACATAGAATAATCATACAGGGTCTCCAGTCCATTTTCTGTGTTAGATGCAATGTTTATCATGAAAGTGATGAGAGACCACTTTCTGAATTTTAAAAGGAAGATTTGAATATATTATGTTCTTGAAGATTGTTAAGTTGTAAATTTCGATATGATGCTCAGAAAGTAAATTCAAGAGTTTTCTTTTCAAAGGTTTGCCATACGGGAGGAATTCTGTAAACGTGTTTGTTGATGGGAAATCTGAGGGTACGACATGTTTAATGATTGGAAACAAAATGGATTTCCTGTACAAAGAAATTGAGGACATGACATCTCCGGTGGAATTTCTTTGTCAAGTGCTGAGGCTTTCTGCAGAGGACAGGGAAAGTTTGGACAGAGAGCTGGGAGACAGAATAAATCACAACGTCATTTCTAATTTCTCATTCTTGAATGAGCTAGACGAACGATTTTCATGGCGTGGTGAGTTAAAGGGTCCAAGTATTTGCCCTGTTCGCTATTTACAGAGTTTATAAAAAAAATTATGCAAATTATCACTGTTCAATATCTTCATCTTGTTCATTCTTCTGTTTGAAAAGAGAACACTGTACTATTTTGCGATAAAACCACAAAGAAACACTCCTTTAAATAAGAAATTAGAATTTTTGATTAAATAATAAAAAAAACAGTGATAAAGATAATATGAAAATTAAACGTTTTAAAATACTTGATTTTCCAGAACAACAGATTGACAAGGAGTTCCCAACAATGCTTCACTTTGGCGCTAAATTCGGGCTGGACTGTTTTTGTCAAGTTTTGATGAAAGTTCCTGGTTTTGGTATAGCCCAGACAATCAGGAATAAAGATGGCCAAACTCCAAGTCAATTAGCTAAAACCACGGGGTTCCATAGACTCTCTTATGAGCTCGATCCTTCGAACAACATGTTATCTAATAGTACGTTTAATATTTACACACTAATTTCTTAATTTTATCACAGTGAGTCATTAAATACTTATGTCAGAAAGTAGGAAAGTAATTGAGTTATTTATTTATTTTTTTTATTATTATAATAGTTCCACAACCTCTTTTTTCCTCTGTTTATTCTGCAGTATACTTATTACATATATTCATGTGATTATTTTTTGTCTTAAGTCATAAACATCGATGAAACACTCAGTAGACATAGTGTATGAATTAATAGCTATTTGAACAGGACACTTATGTCATTGTTAATTATTATTTAAATTTGAAATGCAAAAGTTTTGAAGAAATTTGTTATAAGTTAATGTTCATTTAAATTCTTTTATTTTTCCTACAGCTAGTTTACTGGGCGACTTTCACTGCTCTATTTCAGGTAAGTTTACATACAAGAGAAATTACTTTTTTTTTTTTTACACATACTTCCAAATCTATATTGTTTTATGACTAAGATCTCGTATGTATAACACAGAAATGTTACACGTAGTTGCATGTAATTGATCATTGAATTGATTACAAAATAAGGAGGATAAAGTTATGAGAGAAAATAAATACATATGTACTTCCGGAAAGCAATCACAACTTTATTATTTGTTGAGCTTTTTTGTAATTATTGATTTCAGGAGGATCAAGTTATGAGAGAAAAATAAATACATATGTACTTCCGTAAAGCAATCACAACTTTATTATTTGTTGAGCTATTTTGTAATTAATGATTTCAACCGACTTATTTAAGAAATGAGATTTAATAATACCTGTATTCTTCGCATATCAAATCCATAAACGTTTCAAAATGAAATAAACAGAGAGCATTATATAATTCAGGTCATTGACAAAAATAATTTTTAGTATCCAATCGCAATAGCAAAGTAGTAAATTGTAATAAAATTTTTATATTACTCTAGAATCTTTTCCAATGTACACAATAGTCAAGAGTTTTGCTCTGATAATTTTTTTTAATTTTTTTTTACAGGTCCACCAGTTTATTCCAAATCTAAACAAAGAAGCCAAAGTGAATCGACCTCCCACGAAGATATGGTAGGTATTACATATCTATCATAAGGAAATACCAGTAAAATCTACGATATGTATTTGCTAAATGGTATGTAACGTTTTATTGACTAGACGATAAGAAAGAGTTCTTATGAATTGTTTCACTATATGGATCAAAACATTTTTTTAAACACAAGAGTAAGGTTTTATCGAAAAATTCCAGTGTGTTTTCAGAATCTGCTAAAATATACATGTATACAGTTCGAGCCACCTTTTAAAAAAAAATATGTTTGCTTTCTCTCTCCCGACTCCGGATATAGAAATTATGTAGGTAGGGGAAATATTTTTTTTTAATTCAAAAACACTTGCTAATATGAAGTTAAGATAGTTATTTATGGGATGAGAAAACTTCGGAATGAATAACAAAAAGTAATGTTTCCTGGAGGTTAAAAAAAGTTTTGAGTCGGGGCGTTTTTAGTCAGTCGGTCGGGAGAGGACAAACAAACAAATTTTAAAGATGGTTTTCCTACTGTAGTAATTAAGTATAATATTTGTATAAAATGTCAATGAACAGAATAATGGATGGTTTGTTCATTACAGGAAGTAACAAGACGACCTCAAACAGAAAGAGCAAAGATACAGAAAAACAGAAAGGAATCAGGTATCAGACCACAATCCCCCTTTTTAAAATACAAATACTTATTTTTACATTTTTTCAAAACATTATTTAGGATTTTGGTCTTATTTTGAGATGTATTATCTGAATTATGATAGTTTTTAAATAAAGCTTACAACAAAAAACAAAAGACAATCCCTTGTTTTTTTTTCCTAAACAGTTTATCTAAAATTCTCCATGTAACTTCATATAATCATTGTAATGAAGGACGTTTTACATTTCTTTTTATACAGAATACTTTGGAAAAATAACATCCGTACAATCTAATGATAGTGGATTTTCAGCATCAATCGAGAAAGACGTGGTAGGTCAAGGAAAAAAAGGAGGGAGGGATGTCTTCAAAGAAAATTCGTGTATCTGTAGAATTTTTTTTAAATCAGAAGTTTCATAAACTTAGTTAATATTGATTTGCAATATGAAAAGGAAATGATAACTCTGAATAGTTTTTTTCTTCACAATCTCATTTTCAACGGGGTAACTGAATCAAGGAAAACATGAAAATGATCAAAAGTATATCAGCACACAATATCCGCCACAGTGACTGAAATAAAAAAGAATGAATATATTTTTATTTGTTGTTGAAATTTACTTTGGTATTGTAGTTCGAAGGCTTTTATTATGATTATTCTGAAGAGAAAGAGCAACAAAGAAATCACGAAGAGGTAAACAAAAGCAAAATACTCAAAATTAATTTATTTTATTCTACCCTTATCCAAAGAATGAAATAATTACTTGTACCTAATTTCTGCTTTAAAGCTACGGAACAGAATCAGCACGGAATTGACAGATCAACCCTTTCCAGATTTTCAAGATGCATACAGTACAAAGCTTTAAAATACATATCTGTGTTGAAAAAGACTATTAAGACAAAATGTGAAGACAAATCTTTAACATAAAGTGATCTTCAAAAGTGTCCTCCTATTGAGCTTTTTTGTAAAATAAAATATTTTTAAAAATTTTATTAGGGGCATAATTTTTGCTTTATTGTACATAATTGTTATAAAAATGTTTATGGTGCTTAATTTGTCAATGCAATTTACTAATTAAAACTTATTTAAACTTCATTACTTGTACGAAGTTGATATTTAGATTTTTTTTAGGTCACCTGAGTCACTCAGGTGACCTATTGCTATCCGTTCTCGTCCGTCGGCGTGCGTCGTGCGTCGTGCGTCGTGTGTTAACATTTGAACATTTTTAGCTTCTTCTCTGAAACCGCTTAACCAATTTCAACCAAATTTGGCATATAGCATCTATGGGTGAAGGGGAACAAAAATTGTGAATTTCATGGTCCCTGCCGTCCTGGGGCCTGAGGGGTGGGGCTAAAACCACCAAAAATAATGCAATTTTTAAAAATCTTCTTCTTTACTCCAGGACATCAAGCAGTCAAACTGTTGGCATCATTGTAACAAGCATTGAGCCCTCTACCAAAATTGTGAAATTCATGGCCCCAGGGTCAGGGGTTCTGGCCCCAGGGTGGGGCTATGTAGATCATATAGTGAAAGTGCATTATTTCTTTGAAAATCTTCTTCTCTGCTCCTGGGTATTAAATAAAGTAACTAAGTACATAGTTATGAAGAGCAAGAGTGCCTCTTCCAAAATTGTGAAATTCATGGCCCCAGGGTCAGGGGTTCTGGTGTTAGGGCGGGGCTCTATTGATTATATAGTGAAAATGCATAAATTCTTTGAAAATCTTCTTCTGTGCTCCTGGGTATTAAATAAAGTAACTAAGTACATAGTTATGATGAGCAAGAATGCCTCTTCCAAAATTGTGAAATTCATGGCCCCAGGGTCAGGGATTCTGGCCCCATGGTGGGGCTATATAGATCATATAGTGAAAATGCATTATTTCTTTGAAAATCTTCTTCTCTGCTCCTGGGTATTAAATAAAGTAACTTAGTACATAGTTATGAAGAGCAAGAGTGCCTCTTCCAAAATTGTGAAATTCATGGCCCCAGGGTCAGAGGTTCTGGTGTTAGGGCGGGGCTCTAATGATTATATAGTGAAAATGCATTAATTCTTTGAAAATCTTCTTCTGTGCTCCTGGGTATTAAATAAAGTAACTAAGTACACAGTTATGATGAGCAAGAATGCCTCTTCCAAAATTGTGAAATTCATGGCCCCAGGGTCAGGGGTTCTGGCCCCATGGTGGGGCTATATACATCATATAGTGAAAGTGCATTATTTCTTTGAAAATCTTCTTCTCTGCTCCTGGGTATTATTTAAACAAACAAAGTGCATGGTTATGATGCATAAGGATGCCTTTTCAAAAATTGTGAATTTCATGGCCCCAGGGTCAGGGGTTCTGGTGTTAGGGTGGGGCTCTATTGATTATATAGTGAAAATGCATTGATTCTTTGAAAATCTTTTTCTCTGCTACTGGAGATTATTTAAACAAACTAAGTGCATGGTTTTGATGCACAAGGATGCCTTTTCAAAAATTGTGAATTTCATGGCCCCAGGGCCAGGGGTTCTGGTGTTAGGGCGGGGCTCTATTGATTATATAGTGAAAATGCATTGATTTTTTGAAAATCTTCTTCTCTGCTACTGGAGATTATCTAAACAAACTAAGTGCATGATTATGATAGGCAAGGATGCCTCTTCCAAAATTTTTAAATATATGGCCTCAGTTTTTGGGGTTCTTGAGGAAGGGGGGGGGGGCTCTATTGATTATATAGTGAATAAGCATTAATTCTATTAATTAATCAGTAATTAATCCTGTCTGCTCCTTAGCGTTGAGCTGATAAATAAATTGCTTAGCTATGATGAAAATGGGAGTTTCGAACAGAATTTTTAAATCTTGTGGTCCTAGGGTCAGGGGTTCTGGCATAATGGGGGGGGGGGGCTTTTGATAATATAGTGGAAAAGTGTTAATACTTCGAAGTCCATAGTTATGATGATGAGGGTAACTCTTCCAAATTTGTAAATTTCTTGACCCTTGGTCTTGGGTTCTGGTGTTAGGGTAAGGCTTTGTTGAATCTGTAGTGAAAATGCATTGTACCTGTGAAATTCTTCTCTGCTTCTGGGCATATCGGAAGAAAACTGAGTAAAAGTTTAAATGAGATAAGTAAGCGTATTTTTACCAGATTTTTGAACATCTGAACCATTTGTCTAAGCATTCTAGTCCTGGGCAGGGCTCTATTAATTTGTATTCTACTGAGAGAAGTTATTCCCCTTTTCCGTTCACCTTTGATAATTAATCACTGTAAATAATGTATTTGAAAGGTTAATAGAATAAGATAATTATGCAAGAATGTTTATCATATAATTCAAAAAGTATTTTCTTAGTTTTAATAATCAGGTAGACCTGTAAGTAATAGATAAATAAAAATGAGACAAAAATAACTGATCTTATTAAAAGTTCTTCAAAGACCATAAGAGAGGTCAATGCTAGAGGTCTTAATACGGGTTTAAAAATAGTACAGAAGCACTAATAGTTTGTTAATAGTCTGCATGGTGATAGTGTTAAGTGGGGGAAGATTAGAACTTAAGTTATGAGTTGATACTGAATACTAGACTAATTATTTTGTTGATCCTGATCTTCCTACTTTTCTTGCTTTAGGGCAACAAAGCTTCATCTATCAGTGTATTTAACTTCTAAATTGTTGTATTATACTCAGGTGACCGTTAAGGCCCTTGGGCCTCTTGTTAATATTGTATCTTTATGTTCAAATAAACTTTGTTAAGAAACTGTGTTCATTGAATTTTAATAGCTAAGAGCACAATCATTTTAAAAAAAACACAATAACCTTTGTTTGAATCAGGGTGTGTACTCTGTTTAATGCTTACATTTTACTCTCACTCAGATATTCTCTTTGAGTGTGAAAATAAAGAAAAACTAAAAACTTCAGAACATTTCAATACTTGCAGAAGCTTTTTTCTCCAAAACATAGAGAAAATTAACAAATACCAGTAATGACCTTCATTGCATATATCTGTTTTAAGCCTTAAATCCAACAATCAGATGATTCTTGCAGAGTAAAAAATATTCATTTACAACGCTAAAACTTTAAAATTCTGCATAGCCACAAAATAACCTAGTGCTTATTGTAACATGAACAGTTACAGTTGTTCTGCAAACGACTCCCCTACTCCCATATGGTTAAGTTACCTAATTCTTTTGAATTTTAGAGTAACACTTTATTTTTTGGGGTATTTATCGGACAACTACTCCGATATAGCCGCATACAGGTATTAAATCAAATTTTAGTGCATGTGCTGGCCCATGCTTTCTAGATTGTTCATGTATTTTCTTATAGTATATCACATTAATATACCTATGTAATAAATATCAAAAATTTTTATTGAAAAATAAAGTAAATAAAAATAAGAGATATTGAAAAATAAAAGAGATAAAACTATTTAAGCATAAGCCAATCAGAATTCAACACACGCACATGAGTGTCTTTGCATTACATAATTAAGGATGCACGATACTTAATATCTACGTTCTAAGTTTTGTCCTGTTTTGTTCAAAACTAAGAAAGATAGGCAATTTTAAGTTTCAGTCAATCAAATTGTATCACGCATACACGCACATGTTTTGAAGAATTATCCTGTATATCGTATTACAGAACCTAATATTATATGCCTATACTTTAAATCAAATATATTTTTCAAATAACAAGGAAGTTCTTGAGATTTTTATGTCAGCCAATCACAGCAAAGAGAACGTGCACGAGCGTGCATTTTTGCTTATTCAACCAAATCATCTTGACTGTACCACCAATATATATTTATATACTGTGGTTCAAAGCATATCGTCAATAAAGCTGTTTCAATTATATGCGATATTTCACTCATTGCACGAACCCGCATGTGCGTGCAAAATGACATTCGTTCCTCAAATTCACACGACATACCTGTTAACCCTACGAAAGGTTTTATCTCAATCAGATGAGTAGTTTCCGAGAACACTCGCGTACAAAAAAAGACCGGAGAAGAAATCCCAAAACGAAAGTAAAAAAAAATGTTCTCAAACTTCGTGTTGTGAACATAAAAATACAGACACGCTTATATCTATTAAACTTCATGATTCTACTAGAGAAATAACATAAATCTTTTCGGAAGGAATGTGTACAATTCAGGACGGCAGTGGTTCTACTAGTTCTTTGTTAGCGCATCTTCGCTAGCCAAGGGTTTCTGATACGCTACCCTAATAAAAATATTCACATTATAGTTGATCAAATTCTTTTATATTGAGATGTTAAAAATTAAAATATTTTTTTCCTTCTCACAAATGTGCAATTTGACAGTGAAATTGGAAACTAGGTTTAAAATCTAGCAGGGACTGTACATTTGGTTGAACAGTGGCGTGGGAAAATATAACATGTTCTGCTTTTCAAATCCACCACAAAATACTTAATTTAGTTAACATATTTAAACAATTAACGTTTTAATGGAATTTCTGAAGTACAAAAAATTATAAATAGGGGACTTAAGTTTCAGAACATAATGTATTAAATAAATATTTGTTTCAAATTTTTAAGTAGAAGTAGGCATCGCATGATTGGCAAATGTAATTTTTTGTCCTTTACGTCGAGAAAAAAGATGAGGACTTTGACTTGACCTTACTGCTAAAATAAAACGGCCAAAACATCACTTTATGATTTTTTTTAAATACAAATAAGAGAAGAATCTCGCCTTAAGCTGAAAAATATGTACATATATGTATAACAAATAAGAAACATGAAGAAATCATCGAATTTAAGTCCCTTTTTATTTACTTTATATCTAGGAATAAAATTAAAAGACACACGTATCCTCACACACACATACACATACCCCGCTCACATACACACATATAAAAATATGGATGAATTTGAAAGCCAATATTCTTTGTTAAACCTGCAGGAGAATTGTT